AAGCCGCTTACCACTTGATCCAACCCCTCGTTGGTTGGTTGTGACACTATAACTACATTTTGGGGTTAAGAGATGATTGAATAAGATTGACCATAAGCAAGGATGGTGTTAATATTTATTATTGCATCGTTTCAAATATATATTTATTCATTTATTTATTATTTTTATTATTATAATGCAAAAAATGATGTGATAGTATTAACGTTAAATAGAAAAATGAGGTTATCTTATTTTATAATAATTTATTATGTTAATGTTGTACAATAAGAGATAATTTATCTTTAATTTTAATTTTTTTATAAGATAAAATAAGTTTTAACTTTGTGAGAGAAAAACAATGAAAAATGGTACAGATTTGAATCTTTTATTAAAAAACTTTCTACATTAAAATTTTAGTTCACCTCAACCAATGTCAAATTTCTTAAATGATCATGATTTTAGTGTCATTCCATGTGATTCGAGGTCTTATGTTTTATATTGACCATATGATTATCATCGGATGCTTGTGTGAAACTCAAATTGGATAACATGGAGGGCCAACTCTCTGAGAGGGCGGACTTGTCCTAAACAGTTTTTTTCCTTTGGTTTTATACCACAGAGATGCGAGTGCTATTCAAACAGAGATCGCGTCTCCTACTTTGGTGCCATGCACGTTCCCCTTTGTTGCCACTGCTACGTCTCCGCAAGATCAGGTCATCTCTAATTTGACTTAAACGGGCTGTAGGGTAAACGAATAGGATAAGGCCATGCCATCTGTACTTGTCTTTCCACATTTTTAAGTACACTTCTGGTAATTATTGCTCCACTTCTAATTTACATTTCAAAATTATCAATTAATTATCGATTAAGTGAGAAGAAATCTCAATTAAATGATAATTTCCAACCAATTCCTCCACATGGCACTTATTGGAAAAATCAATAATTGGGTTTACAAGGGCTTTTCTTTGGGTTTGATCACATTTAGCGTTTCACATGGGCTTGAGGTGCACTTTGCAATCGCAGTTTTTGATCCAACATAAAGGACATGTGGCATCTGTTCACTAATTGTCAAATTTAGGAGTAAGCAAGTGGCTTAAGAGGTGAGTATAAGTTGAATATAACTTGTGAAAGTTTATCAATGATAGGAAATTCCCTCATGACATGAATAGTAATTAGTCATGGAAGCATATTA